TATGTATATTTTTTTAAATCTGATATACTAAATCCCACACCAATTTTACCAAATCATACACACAATTGAAAAAAATTCTCTCTAAAATCTCTTCTTCTTCTTCCCCACCCTTCTTCTTTTTCCCTATTTTTTTAACAAAATCATACACTAAAAACGTCCATATCATTCCAAGTTCAAATTTGGGAAAAATCTTCATGTGTTCAAACTAAAATAAAGTTGGAATTTGAGAAAGAAATTCGAATTGATATGAACTTAAATAATTAAAAAAGCATAATGAAATTGAAAAATATTAAATAAACCTAAACTCACTTTTTATGATTATTCACGTAAAAGATTAACGAATTTTGAGTGACTTGGAAAAAATCATCATAGAAAAAGTTAGAGAGAATATAAGTAGAGAGAGATTTTTTTTTTAATTTATATGTGGTATTTAATAAATTTTAGTGTGGGATTTAGCATGCCCCATTTAAATACTTGATGAATAAATAAATTAAAATAATTACTTTTAAATAGGAAAAAAAAACAAAAGGAAATAAATAAAAAGATTTGAATGGGGTGTGAGGGTATTTATAGGAAAAAAAATGGTGGAGAAAAAAATTCAAAAAAAAAAACAAATAACGGCCGGTTCACTTAGCCGGTTCACCGGGCCAGTTGAACTTTTTAAAGCTTTTTTCAGCTTTTTTTTTTAATTTTTTCTTAAATTCGGGGCGGCCCGGCGGTTCACAATTCACCTATTTCTAGAACTGGGCCCGACCCGATGTATACGGCCGGTTTACCGGTCAACGGACTGGTTCGAGACGGTTCCAGGCCGAATACCGGCCCATGGCCGTGTCTATTTCCAACTCCTCCGGTCCAATTGAAATATAAAGAGAATTTTATTTATGACGACAGCATGCTTCACTTAGAAATGACTCGTGATCACACATACACACACCATTAAGAAAAGATACGAAACAAAAACAGAGAAGCTGGGAACATGAAAACCATCAGCTGGTAAAATAAAACCACTCATAAGTAGAGAGAGAGATGATAAATAAACTTTTTTTGGTAGTAGAATTAGGCAGAATGTAGTCTATTTTCATCTCTTTCCATCCCCAATCTCCTTAGATTAACTTGCAGCTGAGCGGCCGCCGCCAAAAACCTCACACACTGAGTTGGATTCAATATCTCCATTATCTTTCCACAACTTTTTCTTCTCAGAAAATCAGCGCACTCCACCAGAGCCTCAATCGACAATTTCAGCGTATCAACTGCTGTCTCCATGTTACGATCTGATGCCCCATTCCTTGGCGGCCTTCCCATTTGCCTCGTCAATTCCAATATTGACGAAGATATCTACAGTAAATTAAAACTTAAAATTGGGGCAATTTTCAAATACCAAGATAACTGAGAAATTCGTTCAGATTTGGAGCTATATGCATTATGAAATGAAATCCTAGGTCATTTTCAAAGAAGAAGGTTATAAATAAATTACCATTCTCTCTTGAACTTTATCGAACTCATGGGTGAGTTGGTCTTCCTCCTCCTTAATCTCCGCGATCACTCTGTTAATCCTCTGAGTTTGATCATCCGTCAAGTCAAACACATTGTTGATAACGACTCGAAACGCCAAACGAGGCCTAAAGCCACCAATCCAGAGATGGGCTCTTTCGAATGAGCTAACCCAAGTTGGTGCAAGCACAAGAAATACGTTTTGTCGGACAAGTGTTTTCTTGGCTTGGAAGTATTGTTTGTAGTGGGCTATATTGTCACTGATAAGGTTGTTGCACATTTGCTCGTTTTGTTCATCTCCACTTTCTATGAGTTGAAGGAGGTCGTGGAGGTGATGTTCCTGGCTGATTAACCAGCGGGAGAAAAATGCCTCGAATATTGTTTGGTTGGTTATAGTTTCTGCCATTCTTTATAAGCTTAACAACAATCAGACAGATATATATATATATATATATATATATATATATATATATATATATATATATATATATATATATATATATATATATATATATATATATATATATATATATATATATATATATATATATATATATATATATATATATATATATATATATATATATATATATATATATATATATATATATATATATATATATATATATATATAAAAGAGTCGTACTCTTGTATTTTACTCTCCCAACTTTTCTTTTTCCTTTTTTTTCTGCCATTTCCAATGTGAAACGACGCCGTTTAGTATTCATCTACCAATCAGATGCAGCCATTAATTTCTTTTCCATTTAATTTCCACATGCACGATTGCGATCGACCATTCTGGTGGGCCCCTAGGTCTTTTTTTCCTCTTTTAATTTCTCTCTCTCTTATCTCAAGCAATCTGCCTCGGTCCAACACACCGACCCTTTTTCCGCAAACTCGAGTGGAGAAACCTCTCATCTCTCTCCGACGGCGTCGCCGCCGTTGCTCTCTCTCCGCCCCGTCGAACGCCGAACAGAAGTGGCGCTCGAGAAGGTCTCGCCACTTCTACCACCTACGCTGACCCCAACCTCAGCCGGGCGACAATTCCCCGATGGTGCAGAGTGTTGGTTTAATTAAGGAAACACAATTCATTGAACCTGGGAATATTGAGCTGCTGACCAATGTTTTGAAACTCGCACCGAAAATTGACCTAGGCAAGCTACTGGGACATGGTTGGACCGGTTCAACCGGGCTTCAATCGATTGTTTTCTTTTTTTATTTTATAATTATTAATACATAATTTTTATAGTTAATAAAGCATTATTTTTTACACGTATTGACTCGTTACTAATTGGGGCAATTTGCTATAATTTAGCTTCAACTTGTATGCTTTTTGGGTAGTTTTCGTTTGCACTTTTTTTTTACGGTTGTTGGGTTTGCATGTCGAATTTATTGTGTTAAAACATGTTGTTGTGGTTAATTTGGTGTGCATTTATACTGGAGAATACATTTAGTTGTTCCATAATTTGATTTAAAATTGTAATTGCAGATTGCACTTTGCAATTGAAGTTGTTATAAACTTTTGTTGTCCATGTTTGCTCTTAATTGAAGTCGTTATTAGTTGTTTGCATTTCATGTTAACATCCATGGGTGATCTGTTGTTGTCATTTGCAATTCATATTTGCTAGTAATTTCAGTTTACACTTTGTAACTATTTTATAATAGCAATGCTTGTTGTATCTTGATGTACTTGTGTTATGCATTATTATGTTACTAGTAATTTGATGTGCATTGTATTATAGTCCTCATATGCTCGACTTCAGTTTCCCTTTTCACATTGTTGCAAAAAGCCTTTATTTACATTTTCAATTTGCATTTTGCAATTGTTGTTTAAAGTTGCATATGTTATTTACTGTTTGCATTTTGTGTTAGAGAATATTATATTATAGAACTCTCATAATATTATGATTCTAGTATGATTCGGTTACCTAGATTAGTTAGGATTTAGTTACCTAGTCAAACTCTATTACCTTGCAATATTTCTCTATATATATTCCATGTAATCAACCCATAACACAATGGGGGGGTTTCTATTCTTTTACGTATTATTATTTCTCTCTTTCTCCTATTCTATTTTTCCTATATGGTATCAGAGCACCAGGTTTAGGTTTTTTTAACCTAGCCGCCTTTCTTCTCCATGGCGGTGAAAACCTAGCCGCCTTTCTTCTTCATGGCGGTGACCACCCAATTTTCTCCCTCCCCGGTGGTGGTACTCTAATATTTTTTCTTTTTCTATCTTCTTTTTCTTCTTCTTCTTCTTATCTTCTTCTTCTTCTTCTTCTTCTTCTTCTTCTTCTTCTTCTTCTTCTTCTTCTTCTTCTTCTTCTTCTTCATGGCCTAAAACCTAGCCTAGCCGCCGCTTCTCTTCTTTTCAATGGCCGGCGACCACCAAACCGAATTTTCTCCCTCTCTCGGTGGTGTATCTTCTCTATCTTTTTCTTCTTCTTCTTCTTCTTCTTCTTCTTCTTCTTCTTCTTCTTCTTCTTCTTCTTCTTCTTCTTCTTCTTCTTCTTCTTCTTCTTCTTCTTCTTCTTCTTCTTCTCCATGACCTAAAACCTAACCGCCGCCTCTCTTCTTCTCCATGGCCGGCGACCACCACCCCAATTTCTTCCCTCCCCCGGTGGTGGTGCATCATCTCTTCTCTGTATCTCGATAAAAAAAAAATGCTTATTTTTCTCTCTCCCGTTATTATTATTATTTTTTTTAAAATTTGGCAGATTTTAAATTTGGCAGATATTTCAACAGAGGAAGTCTCTAGCGTTATGTTTCACGACTTCTTTTCCAGTCTTCACTTTTTGAGTTTATCCGTTCCGACTGCGGGAGCGTGCTAGCAAGTGATTGTCCAGTCTTCACGTTCGTCACGTTTCGACTGCGGGGGCGTGTTAGAGAATATTATATTATAGAACTCTCATAATATTATGATTCTAGTATGATTCAGTTACCTAGATTAGTTAGGATTTAGTTACCTAGTCAAACTCTATTACCTTGGAATATTTCTCTATATATATTCCATGTAATCAACCCATAACACAATGGGGGGTTTCTATTTTATTACGTATTGTTATTTCTCTCTTTCTCCTATTCTATTTTTCCTATATTTTGTAATTCTTATTTTTTATTTGTTGTTTGCAATTGCAATAGCAGATTTTAGTGATACAATAAGAAAAAAACGAATAGTGTCAGTATTCTATTAGCACAGTCCAGTATACATCATAAACGTATACCTTATAAATTTGGTGACTTACACAAAAGTGGACAATCATATAATACTTGATTAACTAAATAATTAGTGATATATGTGGATTACAACTATAGTAGTATAGCATATTAAAAGAAACTATAGTATATTTAGTAAAATCCTAAATATAAAGTTGGTTGCTGAAAAATAGAAGAATATTGGTTGCGTGGTCGTTTTAATGGTGATTTGATGAACAATAGTTGAATACTAATATTGTACTGATTTTACAAATGTCATTATGGACAATAGTAGAATGAGAACAATTTAATGATTGAAATAAATCAAATCTAGAATATGTAGTTGAATTAAAAAATCAATGGTAGATTAGAATATGAAATAGCAGATTTATATACAATGTAAACATTTGCGAATATAATAGTTCATTTAGTAAACAATAGCATATTACAAAAATAAAGCAACAACTGGCAAAATCATCTTATAAGTCTATTGACATGGTGGTGTTTGCAAAAGTTTTTTGAAAGTGATTATAAGTTTTTTTTTTGTTCATAATTTGTTTTCAGGTGTTTACAAAATCAACTTTTGCTTTTGCTTCTCTTAAAATAATTTACTTTAGCTATTTTTTTTAAAGTATCCCTAATCTTGATTTTTCTATTTAAGTTCATTTTCCGAAATAATTACAAATACCCCAAACTTTTAGAAATAAGCACTTAAAACTAACTTAAGGTGGTGTTTGCAAATGATTATTTAAAAGTAGAAGTTAGTGATTGTGAGTTAAGTCAGTTTTAAGCGCTTATTTCTAAAAGTTGGGGGTGTTTGCAATTATTCCGGAAAATGAACTTAAATAGAAAAAACAGGGTTAGAGGTACTTTTAAAAAAATAGCTTAAAGCAGATTATTTTAAGAGAAGCAAAAGCAAAAGTTGATTTTGCAAACACTTGAAAATAGATTATGAACAAAAAAGAGCTCATAATCACTTTCAAAAAGCGTTTGCAAACACCACCTAACTCACAATCACTAACTTCTGCTTTTAAATAATCATTTGCAAACACCACTATAGTTGCATTTGAAAAGTTATATATAGCTATAATTTTCAGCAATCTCTGTTGTGTTACAACTTACAATTACTAGGTCACCGTGTTAATTTGAATGAGATAATTGTAATTTCTTAAACGAGCAAGATATTTTTGTAATTAAACCTCAAAAAGTGGTAATTCTAATTTATGCTAAAAGCATTTCATGCTATACGATTGGAATGGACCTCAGTTTGAAAATAACTTTTGAAGAAATATGACTAAATATAAAGTTGATTTTACTTAGGGTACATTATAAAGAATCCCTAAATTAAGGTCAAATTATAAAAATAAAAAGGGCAATTTACAAATAAGTCCATCAATGAATAATTATTCATAAAGAGAGTTAAAGAATAAATTTTTTTACAAAAAAATCCACACATGGTTCAAAGGTTTGTAAAAGACTAAAGTAGCCCATCATACTTTAATATACACCAATTTCATCCTTCAATTTAATCTAACCTCAATTTGACCCCAAATTTCACAAATTATTCAATTTTAATCCGAAACACATTTTTATGGACAATTTCGTCCTTCACCGCCGGTCTCTGGCGTTGATTTTTTTTTTCCGCCGGTTTCCGGCGTTAGTTTTTTTTTTTTTTTTTTTTTTTTTCCTGATTTTTCCGCCGGTCTCCGACACTGACTTTTTCGGTTTTTTTTTTCTTTTCTCTTTAACATCTTTTTTTCCCCTTTTAAACAACAATATTGCTGTGAATTGACAGTAATATTAACTATAGTACTGTTAAACACAGTAAAATTAACTATACTAAAGTTGAACACAATAAATATTGTTATATTAATCTCTAACACAGTAATATTAACACAACAAAATTCATTATTATTGTGTAATAGAGTAATATTAATATGTTGGCCGTTCAACAAATGTAAACATAATAAAAAGCCAAAATAATTAATATCTCGGTGAGTGACAGTAATATTACTATAACAACAGTAATATTACCGTCAACCACAGTAATATTACAATAATAGACAGTAATATTATTACGTACTCTGTGAATAACTCAAACAAAATAAAAAAAACCAAAAAAATAATAATAATGATGTGGGTGACATTAATATTACTATAACAACAGTAATATTACCGTCAACCACAGTAATATTATTGTGTTTACAGTAATATTACAATAATAG